AGGATTTGGATTTGAAAATGATAAAGATGAAATAAATGAATTCATTAATCAAAATCCCATTTCTTTGCCTTGGAATGCAACTGACATGGTTATTCTTACAAATGGTTATTGTGGGTCTGCTTGTTCGTCAATTGCATTACACATTGTTGAATTGAATAACGTTACAACTGTGTCAGTTGGTGGTCTCCCAAAAACTCCGTTATCAATAAGTTCTTTTCCTGGTGGTCAAAAATTTGTCTTTACCGACCCTAACAACGGTTTTGAGGATCTTGTAAAAGACCTGGACAGATTAGGCTTATCTGATAACAAACAAACTCCACAACAGGGGAAGATAGATAAATATTGCGGTCGAACAAGGAAAACGGTGGATTTTTAACGTCAACGGCTTCAATTGCAGCCTTTTTAATGTCAGTAAGGCTAAAATCGGTTGGGAAAGCGGGATATGTAGCAGGGAATAATATTTTATTGATAAAATGAGCAATAATAGTTAAACCACCTTCATTATTCGACAAATCAAGAATGAGTTTAGTAACACCAGTATTTGCCAATGAATTGAAACCTTTCGTAAGACTAACAAAAGCATCATTATAACTTGTGAAAAGATCAGTAATTTCTTCGGTCGAAATCATGGCAACCCCGATATTACTTTTACTCTTCAACTTGTAAAACTGTGCCAATTTTGCATCAGCAACTAACGTGGCATCACTGAACACGACATCTTCTTTGAACAAATTAGCATCGTTCATTTTCAGAGGGTCAAAATCATTTCGAAGTCGATACATTGGACGGCGACCCAATTTTAAAAGGGATTTCGAAAATTTATGACGTAAAAATTTAGGTTTAAAAGATCGGAAACGTCCAGGAAGTCGATGAGATTTAGGAAGTTTTGAGGACTTAAGAAGTTGGGTAGATTTAGGAGGTTTAGTAGATTTTTTAAGAAGTTGGGTAGATTTAGAAGGTTGGGAAGGTTGGGCAGATTTAGAAGGTTGGGAAGATTCAGGAGGCTTAGAAGGTGCGGGCGCGGAAGGGTTGACACAAAATTTTGACCAATAAGAAGCGGAATCAGAGAAACTATTAAGATCATCCCCATCGTTTATAAAAGCTACCCATTCTCTTACAACTTTTTTAGTTTCTGAACCACATTTCAAAGTGTAAGTGATGGAATCTTTATCGGGTAAGATTAATCGAATATTGAATTGAGAAGATCTCGGGTGAAGTTGAAATTTTCCATTAAACAATGCCAATGAAGCCAATGCCATATTGAATCGAACGCCAAGATCTTTGGAGACGAAAACATTGTCACGTGCGTATTGTTTGATAGCATCCAGCGCTGGGTTATCATCGATCGTATCAACCACACAATTTTTGTTATTTGAGTCCAAATTATCCTTAAAGACTTTGATCAGCTGTGAACCATCATCTGCAACTGTGGAATATAGGGCCAGCTGTTGAGTGAAAGTAAACCTTGTATAACAAATTGGAAAGTAAAAAGTATGCGGGTCTTTCATCTTAATTATCAGGTTGATCACATCAGTCTACGTAAAAAGCAATTGAACGATCTTAATTTAATAGTCAAATTAAATTTAATTGAAATTATCAAATACGTTTATTAATATACATACCGCGAATTCAAAGTCATCATTGTACTCTTTTTTGGCTAACGAATCAAGTTCTTTCGAGATGTCAACTGGGTCAAAATTGAAACCGGGTTTGGGCGGTTTATTAACTTGATCGATAAAAACATAAAATCCATTGAGAATTTTCTTAATAGTATCTATTGTGCCAGTTCTTATGTTTTCATCAAATTTAAATGATTTATAACAAGATCTGACATCCGAAATGGAAAAGGAAATATCCTGTCCGGGTACGTTTGCTGCTTTAAATTTATTGTGAATTATTGCACATCCATCTACCAAATTAGCAATATTATCGAGGTTAGTGGGCTTGGGTAACGATATTTCGGTAACATTAGTTTCAAGGTTAATGGATTTTGTGGGTGTTGGCGAAAACGTTGGAAGCAACGCAGATTGTCCTCCTTGGGTCGCCAGCAACAAGAGGATTGAAAGGACTATTAAGAAAATTCTCATTTTTAATTACGATTATATGTGAGGAAGGGGGGATAAGAACGATGAAGGCGAATTCTGTACTAATAACACATTTATTCGCAATAGGATAAAGAAGAAGTGTAGACTCTTTCAAAAAGAAAAGCAGGTATTTATATTCAATAAATAATGTGCATGTTTCAATTTTTGGTTGTCTAACATTTTCGTTGTTGTATCCTTTGTCTAGAAAAAGATAAAACAATGATGGGTTGACGAGAACATGGGTAATGCTTTATTACAAACGGTTTAACGAATCGAATTATTTGTCAAATGCACATCAAACTTCTATTTTCCGAACAAATGAATCCGATTATATACATGCTGTTTTTAAGCGTTTTTTGCATATTCCGATCTAGGATAACAAAATAATTTTAGGCTGCACAATAATTTCTTGATTGTTCATGTAACTTGTTTCAGGCATAATTCAT